TTTCTATTTTTATATTATTTATATTTATATTTCTTATATATTATAATTTTCTACTATAAGCATATATTTCTTCTATAATTAAGGAAGGTACACTTAAAAATTTTTCTTTACAGACTACACTTAACAAGTACATACATAGAATTTCCACATTAGTTACCTGAAAAGAGTAAGAATAGAAGTCCCATTACAATGAATTATATTTTCATCATCATATAAAAGTTCTGCTTTGTTTCTGGTAGGAGCACCAGCAGCTTCTTCATCCAAAAGAACAAGTAAAGTCTTCACAGTATCTCTGCCACAGTACGCAGTGCCATGGTTTATGGCATGTGATTTTGGCTAGAACAAAGAATAATTCTAAGTAAATGGAATAATCACCTGTGCTGGGTGTCAGTCATACTTTTCCATGTCATGTGCCACTGTTCTCCTTTCTCCTCTATTGTTGAAATGATAATAATAATAAAAGGCTCTGAGAAGTGACTACAAGGTATAGAAATATTTTTCTTTTAAGGCATGCTACCATCAACCTTATTAATTTCCAGATGCACAAAAGAATACAGAAAATAGTATTGTCAAAGGGAGGCTTTGGGTTCTGGTCAAAATAACTTTGGACTTTGAATCAGAAAATTTTAGCTAGTATCTAGCTTTCTTACATCTCACTATCATGATTTAGGGAGCTCTGGTAGCATAGTGCCTAAGGCACTTGACTGCTCACCAGAAGGCTGGCAGTTCAAACCCACCAGCCACTCCTCGGAAGGAAGGTTGGGCAATCCTACTTCTGTAGTGATACTGCCTCGGAAACCCAAGGAGGGGTCGCTATGAGTCAGGGCTGACTCGACGGCAAACTAACAACAATAACATCATGATTTAACCTCTTTGTAATTTTTTCTCATTTATACAAAAGAGAGATGGGGCTCTAGAGATCTGAATATCAACCTCATAATGATTGTAAATATTTACTCAAATCCAAAAATGAAAAGAAACTAGTTGACTTTCATCCATTCAAGCAATCATTAATATCTACTTTTTAATCCAATGCACTTAAAGCTGGCTACAAAGGTGAATATAACTGTCTTCAAGGAACCCATGCTACTTGATAAGATGAATAAGTAACCAAATAATAATTTCATTACAACATGTTAGTTGCTATTTCTAGTAGAAGTATAAGTATATATACAGTAGAAGCATACAAAAGGGAGTGATCTGTTTAATCTGGGGCCATAGAAGACTTCACAGGGAAAGAAAAACACAGAGGTAGGCAGTGGTGTCACTAGGGTAGGTATCACCTAGTGAGTAATTCATGGTATCACTCTCCACCATGGACCTCTTCCCATATCAGACCATAAAGAATCCAACAAAACTGCACCACTCGCAGTCTGTCAGCATGTCATACGGTGGTGGCTTGTGTGTTGCTGTGAGGCTGGAGGCTATGTCACTGGTATTACAATGCCAACAGAGTGACCCACAGTAGACAGGTTTCAGTGGCGCTTCAGGACTAAGATAAACTGGGAAGAAGTAAGGGCCCACCCACTTCTCAAAGAATTGGCCAGTGAAAACCTTATGAATAATAGTGAAATATTGCCTGATACATTACTGAAAAACGTTATGAATAGCTGTGAAACACTGGCTGATATAGTGCCAGAAGACAAGTCCTTCAGGTCAGAAGGCACTCAAAACACTACTGGAAAAGAGCTGCCTCTTCAAAGTAGAGTTGACATTAGTGACACGGATAGAGTAAAGCTCTTGGGACCTTCATTTGCTGACAGGGCACGACTCCAAATGGGAAGAAACAGCTGCAAACATTTGTTAATAATCAGAATATGGAATGTATGAAGTATGAACCCAGGTAAATAGAAGTGGTCAAAAATGAAGTGGAACCCATAAAGATCAATATCCTAGGCATTGTGGATATGTGCTGTCGAGTTATCTATGACTCACAGAAACCTTATGTACAACAGAATGAAACACTGCCCCATCCTGTGCCACCCTCATGACCCATACTATATCTGAGCCTATCACTGCAGCCACTGTGTCAATTCATCTTGTTGAGGGCCTTCTCCTCTTTCGTTGACCCTCCACTTTCCCAATCATGACATCCTTCTCCAGAGAATGGTCCCTTCTGACAACATGACCAAAGTAGGTGAGACGAAGTCTGGCCATTCTTGCTTCCAAGAAGCATTCCAGATGAACTTCTTGCAGGACAGATTTGTCAGTTCTTTTAGAAGTCCACAATACTTTCAGCATTCTTCACCAACACCACAACTCAAAAGCATCAATTTTTCTTCAGTCTTTCTTATTCATTGACTGGCTCCCACATGCATAAGAGGCGACTGAAAATACCATGGCTTGGGTTAGGTACATCTTAGTCTTCAAGGAGATATCTTTGCTCTTCAGCACTTGAAAGAGGTCTTTTGCAACAGATTTGCCCAACACAAATCTGTCTTTTGATGTCCTCACTGCTGCTTTCATTGGTGTTGGTAATATGAAGTCTTTGACAACTTCAATCTTTTCTCCATCTATCGTGATGCTGCTTATTGGTTGGTCCAGTTGTGAAGATTTTTGTTTTTTTAATATTGAGATGTAATTCATACTGCAAACTGTAGTCTTTAATCTTCATCAGTAAGTGCTCCAAGTCATCCTCATGTTGAGCAAGCAAAGTTGTGTCATCTGAATATTGCAGGTTATTAATGACTCTTCCTCCTCCAATCCTGATGCCACGTTCTTTTCATATAGACCACCTTCTCAGATTATTTGCTTAGTATACAAATTGAATAAGTATGGTGAAAGGATACAACCCTGACACACTCCCTTCCTGATTTTAAACCATGCAGTATTCCCTTGTTCTGTTCAAATGACAGCCTCCTGGTCTATGTACAGGTTCCTCATGAGCACAATTAAGTGTTCTGGAATTCCCATTCTTCTCAATATTATCTATAATTTGTTATAATCTACACAATCAAATGCTTTTAAATAGTCAATAAAGCACAAGTAAACATCTTTCTGGTATTCTTTGCTTTGAGCCAAGATCCATCTGACATCACCTATGACATCCTTCACTCCCCTTCTGAATCCAGCTTGCATTTCTGGAAGTTATCTCTCAATATACTGCTGCAACCATTTTTGAATTATCTTAAGTAAGATTTTACTTGCACGTGATATCAACAATATTGTTCAATAATTTCCACGCTCTGTGGGATTACCTTTCTTTGAAATGGGTACAAATATGGATCTCTTCCAGTCAGCTGGTCAGGTAGCTATCTTCCAAATCTCTTGGCATAGCCGAGTGAGTGCCTCCAGCATGGCATCCATTTGGTGAAACATCTCAATGGGTATTCCGTCAATTGCTGGAGCCTTGTTTTTTGTCAATTCTGCTAGTGCAGCTTCAACCTCTTCCTTCAGTACTATTGGTTTTAGAGCATATGCCACCTCCTGAAATGGATTATCATCTACCAATTCTTTTTGGTATAGTGACTCTGTGTATTCCATCCATCTTCTTTTGATGTTTCCTGCATCATTCAACATATTACCCATGGAATCTTTCAATATTGCAATTAGAGGCTTAAATTTTTCCCTCAGTTCTTTCAGCTTCAGAAATGCTGATCATGTTCTTCCCTTTTGGCTTTCTAACTCCAGGTCTTTGCACAATTCATTATAATAATTGACTTTGTCTTCTCAAGCTGCTCTTTGGAATCTTCTCTTCGGCTCTCTTATACTGTCGACTCTTCCATTTGCTTTAGCTACTTTCCATTCAAAGGCAAGTTTCAGAGTACCTTCTGACAACCATTTTGGTCTTTTCTTTCTTTCCTGTCTTTTTAATGATCTTTTGCTTTATTTGATGATGTTCTTGATGTCATCCCACAATTCTTCTGGTTTTTGGTCATTGGAGTTCAATGCATCAAATCTATTCCTTGGATAGTCTCTAAATTCAGGAGGAATATAATCAAGGTCATATTTTGGCCCTCATGGACTTGTTTTAATTGTCTTCAGCTTCAAGTTGAACTTGCATATGAGCAATTGATGGTCCATTCCATAGTCAGCTCCTGCTCTTGTTTTGGCTAAAGATATCGAGCTTATCTCCATTGCCTTTTCCACACAGTAGTCAATCTGATTCTTATGTACTCCATCTGGTGAAGTCTACATGTATAGCCACCATTTGGGTTGTTGAAAAAAGTTATTTGCAATGAATAAGTCATTGATCTTGCAAAATTCTATCATGTAATATGAAATTTATTTCTATCACCAAGGCCATATTTTCCAAGTACCAGTGATTCTTTGTTTCCAACCTTTGCATTTCAATCACCACTGATAATTAACACATCTTGATTGCAGGTTCAGTCAATTTCAAACTACAGAAGTTGGTAAAAATCTCCATTTTCCTCATCTTTGGCTTTGGTGGTTGGTATGTAAATTTGAGTAATGGTAGTATTAACTGGAGAAGAATGCTGAAAGTACTGGACTGCTGAAAGGACTAACAAATCTGTCCTGGAAGAAGTACAGCCAGAACACTCCTTGGAAGGGAGAAAGAATAGCCAGACTTCGTCTTATATACTTTGGTCATGTTGTCAGAAGGCACCATTCCCTGGAGAAGGATATTATGTTTGGTAAAGTGGAGAGTCAATGAAAAAGGGAAAGGCCCTCAACAAGATGGATCGACACAGTGGCTGCAACAATGGGCTCAGGTATAGCAAGGATCATGGAGCTGGCACAGGACTGGGCAGTGTTTTGTTCTGCCGTACATAGGGTCGCTATGAGTCAGAGATGACTTGACAGCACCTAACAACAACAACAAAGTACTAACTAATCTTTCTTGTGGGCATATGGATATTATCCTATCACTGACAGCATTTTATTTCAGGATAGAGCTTGATAATTCTTTGTGATTATGAATGTCATGCCATTCTTCTCCAATTTGTCATTCCCAACATAGTAGATCATAGGACTGTCTGATTCAAAATAGCCCAAACCAGTCCACTTCAGCTCACCAATGCCTGAGATATCAATCTCTATGCATTCCATTTCATTTTTGACAACTTCCAATTTTCCTATATTTATACTTTGTACATTCCATGTTCCAATTATTAAGGGATATTTGCAGCTGTTTCTTCTCATCCTGAGACATGCCATATCAGCATGGGAGTCTGAAAAGCTTTACTCTATCCACATCATTAAGGTTGGATCTACTCTGAGGACACAACTCTCCTCTAGTCGTATTCTGAGTGTCTTTCAACCTGAAGGCCTCATCTTCTGGCACTATTTTGCACAATGTTTCAGGGCTATTCATAAAGTTTTCCAGTAATATATCAGACAGTGTTTCACTGCCACTCATAAGGTTTTCACTG